TTGGAATTTGGCCAAGACAATGAAAATCAGCATCTCCTCCCCTTAATTCTTTCACAAGCCCTGTGAGACTTTTAATAACCACAAGTGGTCAGGAGTCAGGTGTTGGGTTTAGATCTCATCCAAAGGGCATCCAAGTGCCCCAGACGACATGCTGTGGCATTGACTAAGTGTGACTAAAAGGGAGGAGCGTCACCCCACTGAACCTGATGTGGTTCAGTGAAGCAGGGTTTCTTTGAGATCTACCCGTGTGTTGGTAAACAGATCCACTTTCACCTTGGTTGAAATAAAATTGCATGGAGTCTGGAGTTGAATTGGGAACCTTAATTGCTAATCCACAGTGAATCACATCCAAACAAAGGAAATGGGTTTCTGATTTTTGATTCTTTGTTTTGAAGAGCTGTTTCACCTCTATGTGTGCTTACAACTGGGTATATGCCTGGAAATAAGCCCAATGTCACCCATTTCTCCATTCCAATTTTATGCCAGGACTTTCCAAAGCTACCAGAGGTTACTTACCTGGCCTGACTAGAAAGGGAGAAATTCTGATTGCAGTAAATTATAAAGTGAAAACCTGTTGTGGGTAAATGCAAGGTGAGCTAAGCACTGGCAGAGAGGTACCACAGTGGGAAGAAAGATGTGCCGCTCGCTGCTCAACCTGAAAAAGTGCAACGGGAGATAGCTGCAGCTCATTATTGGCTTGTATTTGCACTACATAAACTTGGAAGCCAATTTCATAGAAAATGCCTAGAAACAAGCTTCAGTCTGTTACAAGGTTTGCTACAGCACCCTAGTTCTGCTTAAGGCATTTTAGGGGAAAATAATTTACATGTTCTAAAGCTTGAGTACTTCTGGTGAATTATGAAGGCTAGTTACCAGCCATATGTTCAAAGAAGTTGAATTCTTGTTTTTTTAATTATGAAAATTATCCATGCTTGATATGAAAAGAAAAAAAAATCGAACAGAACAGAGTCTAATGAAATCAAAAGTCAGTCTCCTGTTCCCTCCTCGTTCTCGGTTCCAGACCCAGTGGGCTCAGTGTAAACAGTTTCTTGGGGGATATGCTTCTAGACATTTGTCAAGTGTAGACAAATTTGTCCTTTTAAAAAAATACAGATAGAATTATACTTTGCATGATTGTTGTGTGACTTGCTTTTTTCACTGAACTCTGAACCATGGCTATCATTCTTTATCCATTCAGATTTACCAAATTCTTTTTGAAAGCTCCAAAGTATCATACGTTTGTACTATAATTTATTTAAACATTCTTTGCTGGTGGATGCTTGGATTTTTCCAGTTTTTACTACTATAAATAATGTTTCAAGCCTTTTGTGGATATCTTTGTACATTTATGCAAGATTCTTTGTAGAAATCAAAAGAATGGCTTTCTAGTAGCAGAATCGCTGGGTCAAAGTTTGTGGATATTTAACATTTTGATAGATAGTGTCAAATTGTAGTCTAAAAAAATGAAACAATTACATTCTTACCAACAGTGAATCAGAGAGCCTGTTTTCCCATATCTTTATCAATACTAGATATTATGAAGTAAAAAAAAAGATTTCTAATCTAAGAGATGATTTTAATTTGCATATATTTCATTATGATTATATCATGTTTATTGAACACATTTTTTTGAGCTTTTTGTTCATATATTGTGTCTATTTTTGAGTTTTTTTTCTTACAGATTTGTAAGAACTCTTTTTAGTAAGGAAGGTAGCCCTTGTTTATAGGTGTTGAAAATATTTTCCCCCAGTTTGTCTGTTTCTTGCATTGCTATGGCGTTTTCATGCTTTATAGAGATGTAAAGTATTTATGTAGTACAATTTATTGGTGTTTTTTCCTTTATGGCTTCTGGGTTTCCTGTCATGTTAGAAAGAGCTTCCTCAATCCATGATTTGAAAAAGTTTTAGTATTCCTCTAATACTGTTATTGTTTCACTTTAAAAAATTATAAAATATTTGGCATATACAAAAGAATATATGTGTATGTAGGCTATCGAGGACAATAAACACCAGTAAACTTAACCTAAGAAACAGTGGTTTAGTGGTTTCATTTTTTATATTTAAAAAAATATCCATCTGTAATTTTTGGGTGGGGGAGTGTTAGGAGTAATATGAATCTACATTTTTTGTACGCATCTTGATTTTGTTTTCTCATATAGGTATTTTGTTCTCCCAACATCATTTACTGAACAATCCTTCTTTCCCCTGTCTTCTTTTATTTTTTATTTTTTTTTAATTTTCAATTTTTTTTTTTTTTTTGAGACAGAATCTTGCTCTGTTACCTGGGCTACAGTGCCGTGGCATCAGGCTACCTCACAGCAACCTCAAACTCCTGGGTTCAAGCAATCCTGCCTCAGCCTCCTGAGTAGCTGGGACTACAGGCATGTGCCACCATGCCCAGCTAATTTTTTCTATATATTTTTAGTTGTCCAGCTAATTTCTTTCTATTTTTAGTAGAGATGGGGTCTCACTCTTGCTCAGGCTGGTCTTGAACCCCTGATGTTGAGTGATCCTCCCACCTCAGCCTCCCAGAGTGCTAGGATTACAGGCTTGTGCCACCACGCCCCGCCTTCTTTTAAATACTAATTGTAATACAGCTCTGATGTGACCTCTGTATACAAAATAAACAAATAATTTCTTATCTTTAGTAAGATACATAAAATAACTAACGATAGTCCTTGATGTTTTCAGATTCAGTAACCAAAGGAATCCCCATTTTCAAAAGCTTGTTGAAAAGAGAATAAGTAAACTTTTTCTAATTTCGTAATGGGGGAAAAAAATCCCACGAGGTATTTGACCTCTTTAACCTTCAGCTAGTTATTTAACTTCCCTAAGCCCCAGTTCCGTGACTTCGAAAATGGAGGTAATAACAATACACTTCATGCGCTGTTGTCAGGAATAAGTGGGCTAAAGAATGTAACATGCTGGGCATGGCTTGGCGCTTGGGACATAATGTCAATCGTTTAATAGTTGTTCTTATTATGAAGGTTATTGTTACTATTAATATCTTATCAGCTTCTCAGGTCTTCAGAAGGAAGTCCATACTCTCTGGCTTTATGGCTGGAACATAATTCTTGCTTGGGATTGTTATAAATAGGTCTAGTTTGCTAATTTTATGGTCTGATGCCATAATATTATGCTTTGTAATTATGTGGAATTTCGAGACTTCTAAATTTACATTTGTATAAATAAACGAAAATGACGGCCAATCCCTAATGCTATAGTAAATGTTCTTTCCTAATCTACAGAGCCTCTCTCCTCCCTGCTGAATGGCAGTGCAGGATCCACAGCTATCCTCTTGGAAGTTGTCCATTTGCCCACCACACAGCTGAAACTTTGCTAGAAATAGTGCTCCTGTAAATACAGATTTTAATGGAAACTGAAGCCATTTAACTGATACACTTTATCCCTCATTATTTCCCAACTGATGTCAAATAGTCCTATTCATGTTCAGAATGTTGAAACCAGTTTACCGCATTTATTATGTTTTAAAATTCAGTTCTCATTTTATCAGATATATAAGGAGGTATTAACCAGTTTCTCCATTTCATAGCTGAGGAAACTGCAGCAAAGAGGATTTTTCTTGCTGAAAGTTACTCAGAAAGGTAATGGCAGGGACCCAATTGTTTTTATTTATATCTCTTGGGTCACAGTCCAATAGTATCTGTTAGTCCAAATTATTCTTAAAAGAAACCACTGGATGTGGAAATTATAATCTGAATAGATATTCCAAAGGGAAAATTATCACTTTATTTGAAATAGATGAGGGAATTATTTTGAGCTATGTTCTATCCCTTAATTATTCCATTATATGCAGACCTTAACTCCTTTTGGAAGAGTGTATGGTATAAGGACACCAATAAGCATTTACAGAATATTAACAAACCAACAATAGGTTGATGATTTACCCTGGATTCATGCCAGGGTCTGTGAAAGAACTCAATAAACATGATATGCATTTCAAAAACTGCTAATCATAATTAAAATTTCTAAACCCCTCAATCCTATAAATTGTATTAAATAGAATGTGAGCATTTGGTCTGCCCCTACTTCTTATATTAAATGGCATCACAGATCCTGTGATTCTCAGCCTTTCGGGAGGTGGGACACAATACTACATTCTTCAAAGAAAAGAAGGTGATGTTTGGCCTTTTCCTTTTTTTTTTTAAAGATTGTTTCAAACTTAGGTATAGAGTTATACCCCGCTCTTTTCTAAAATCCCCTCTGTATCTGTAGTTATGATCTCTTCTTTATGCTTGATGAGACTTTATGTTATCCTTTTCAAATAAGCAGCGCGATTTACCAATTTTGTTTTTCTCTTTCTTAATTCATCTTTTGTCGTTTACATTATTTAAACAGTATCATAACGGCTCATCAGAATTTCGAAAGAGTCCTTAAGGGAATCCTTTGAACCCACTCTGCAGCCCCCCAGGAATATGAATAGGCGTCTTACAAGACGGAAAAGGCAAATGAAGACCCTGGTAATAACAGGAGCAACGGGACTCCCGCCTACCCTGCCCCCCGGGACCTGCCCGCTCCGCGCCGCCGGTCCGGGGCGGGTCTGTTCGGCGGCCGCCCGCCGGCTCTAGCGAGCCAGCCCCGCCCAGGGGACATGGGGGCGGGTCCCGGAGCTCGGTCCGCAGCGGGGAGGGTCGGCCTCGCACAAAGACGCGCCCCCGGCGGGGAGCCCAGCCCACCGGCCCGCGCTGCCGCCTGGAGCGCGCGCCCTCAAGCCCCAGGCCGTGGCGGCGCCGAACCCGGCCTCTCCTCAGTCACCTCGTCTGCTCATTTTATTAAAAAGAAAAAAAAAAAGGAAGAAATCCCGCCCCCCGCCCTCCCTCCGCCTCCCATTGGCCCGGCCCCCGTTCGCGTCACACCGCGCTGCACCAGTGGGGAGGCGTGATACTGCGAGGTGGGCCGGGCCCGAGCGGGGAGTGGGTGGTGGGTCGGTGCAGCAGCCCCGCCGCGGCTCCGCCACCATCGCGGAGGTGCCGCTGCTCCCACAGACGCTCGCGAACCGCCCCCAGCGCTCCGGAGCCTCCTTCCTCCTGCACGCCCCGAGACGCTCGCCCCGCTGGGCCTCGGTCCCCGCCTCCTTTCCCCTCCTCTTCCCCTCTCTCGCTCCCCACATTGTCTCTGCCTCATTTTCTCTCCTAGTTGAGGAAAGAAAAAAATCACCACCATCCTTAGGAAGCCCCCTCGCCCTCCGAAAAGCAAAACCAGACATGATCCTGGGCTCCCGCTTCTGAAGGATTTGCCCTACCGAGGAGGAGGGAGCCTAGTTTCAAGTCGCAGTAAAGGTCACGGCAGGGAAGCCCCGGCAGCCCCTCCGCGTCGCGTCCCCGCGGGCCGGCCCCTCTCGGCCCTGCGCCCCGCGGCCTCCCCGCGGCCTCCCACTCCGTCCCCTCCACTTTCCCGGGAGCTGGGCCGCAAACACCTCTGTTGATGGTGTAGCGCATTAGGGGAAGGTAAGTCTCCAACTTGCCTGCGCCGTGTCGCGTGCTTTCTTTTTTGCCCCCCATCCTGCTGACGGGGTGTTGGGGGGGCGGGGGGGAAGAAGCAAAGAGGGTCGGCCGTGAAAGCAGTCACTCGTCTGGGGTGAGCCAGGAAGAAAAGGCTGGAGTAGAAGTCCAGGGGAGCCAGGCGAGGGCACCGCAGGAGGGTGGCGGGGAATAAAGGGCCAGGGACTTCTTTGGTCCTGTCCGGGCCAGGTGACTGTCCTGTGTGCCTTCTGACCCCCTGTTCCCTCCAGGCTTCTTATTCACGCTCTCGTACTTGTCTGAGGTTAAATTAGTTCATGTGACCAAATTGTTGGCTGAACTGTGAGAGGAAAGGAAGTCAAGGACTGAAACTGTAAATTTCTTGAATGTTTGTGGATTTGGGGGTCTTAGGGGCAGACTTTTATTAAAATATCATTTTCTCCTTAGGGGAAGATTCCTCCTTTGTGTTCCAAATTTCTGGTTCTCCATGTGATTAGAAAATTATGAAATCCAAAATCACTTGCAGCAGAATTCTTACTATCATGTTTTAGTTCTGTGAGTGGCTTCTTTTTTTTTTTTTTTTTTTTTAAGGTTATAGAAAGAAGATAAGTAGTTTTACATAGACTGGGGTGTGTGTGTATGTGTGTGTTGGGAGGGGGGAAACTATTGCAGGTTTCCTTTGAAACTGGTTGCTTGAGAAGTTGTTGAAAGGAAAACAAAATGATTCATTGTTGAATTGTCATTTTTCTCTGTCTCTTTTCCAAGGTTTGCTTACAGTTTTTTTGGATTACAGACTTCAAACATTGATTTAAGCAAAATGTGTCCTTGAGAAACTGGGTGCTTTAAATGTTTCAGTGTGTGTTGCTATTTTAAGGTACATTTAGAAAGTAGTTTTGTATGAATCCTGAAATAGCTTTCTCCAAAGCAATTTTTTAAACACAAAAAAGATAACTAGTAAAAGGATGAACTTTGTGAATTATAAAACAGAGGCGAATTAATGCCTCCTATGTTCAGATTTGAAACAGTTTTCATAATTGCTTTCATTTAAAGAGAGACCTTTTTGTCTGGTGTACACTGGTTTCTTTAGTCTCAGGCTGTTGGGGGAGGGGAGAGAGGATGGCTCTATACAATAATAAAATCATCTTTGGGTAGGTATTTCCTTCCATGGATTTGCTTGCTGAGTTAATTCCACCGTAAATTATAAACCGGTGTTGATTTCGATGGCCTAGTCTGGGTGGAAAGCTGGTTTTCAGCTCTCCCTGTTGTTGTTAAGGTCGAAGGGAAAAGAGGCAGAGGCAGACACACACACACACACACAGACACACACACACAGACACACACACACAATACCAGGCTGAGGGCTCATTGTTCTTCCATACACACATTCATTCTCTCTCTCCCATATTTGGGACTAGGTTTACACAGACAAACACAGCTCTTTTTGGGAGAGAGGAGAGAAGATGGGGGAAGGGAGGGTGCTTTTCTTTTTCAGCTTTCTTCCACCCATCTCATGTCTGGCCTTTTTTGCAACCTTGCGAGGCAGAAGAGTACATTGGAAACTAAAGGACACTCAAAAACATGTTCAGACTTCTCTACTCTGCCTCCCTTTCTTCCCTTTGCAGCCCTGGTTTCTGCTGCTCTTTTCTTTTTTGTGTATGTAAAGATAAAATCCCTCTTTATATGTCCTGGCCTTATATTCAGCTCTCAGTGCTTTCGTATTCGTCATTGCCCCTGACTTTGTTGGGGACAGTGATTTGTTCACTCGACCCTTGTTGTAGTGAATGTGACCATGGTCGTCTTTTGTAGGTAGGAATAGATTTGCTCAGTTAAGGTTATAAAGATTGTATTTGAGGTTACTATTTAGCAAAATGATTTGTGAGTGTGTGTTATTAGTGGTGTGATGGTTTGATGGTCAGGTTTGCTGCCTATTGAGCTGTCAAGAGTTGTTTTTGTAAATAGGGGTTATAAGAAAAGATCTGGGTTTTTGTATCAGGGACTCCTTTGAACACTGGACAGGGAATAGGCTGAGAGTCCACCTGGGGTAAAACCCAGCTTTGGCCCAAGGATGGAGGTTGTTGTGAATACTTGTGGCTTGCAGAATAGCACCTTCTACTGGTTAATTGCTTTGAAGGATCTGATGGAGAGGGTGGAGGAGGGGATTACGGCTGAGGCTTAATGATTTTCTTTTAAACGTAGTTGTAGTGCCTTTCTGCAAAAGCCACTTTTCTGAACTGCTAATACAGATGCCCTTTGACAGGCACGGTTGCATGGAGGCTTTATTATGTTATTGGCTGTGTCTTGACATTAATTTGTTCTGTTATCAGAAATATTTACACATTGTGACTTCCAAGGACTCCTTGGAATTGAGACTCTTCCATCTTTTATGAGAAATATAGTGTGTCTTGAAATATTAAAATAAGTGGGTTTATTTGCATTCCAGGTGTTGGAAACTGTACATACACTAGCAGCCTTTTAAAAAAGTTATTAGTGTCATTAATAAAAAGTCAAATGAACCTATGCTATAGAAAGTAAAATCCTAGCACTGGACAGAGAGGTTTTTCTCAGATATTTAACCTGGGTAGAAGGGTAGAGGAGGCGTTGGGATGAGGAAATCACTAAAATCAGCAATTTTGCATATGTAATAGTGTTGTATTGCAATACTGTTGTTTTCAGTAGTCATATAAACATAAATAAAATTAAGTCTGTTAGGATGACTTATTGTGTGGATTAGATTGTTAAAAAATAAAATTGGAGGCCAGAGAAAATGTGAAATGAGTGTGTACACAGATTAACACAGAAGAGGACCAAATTCCTGCTCAAAGGCTTGTAAACCAAGGTGCAGTTTCATAGATAATCTGCTTGATAAATGCCTTGAATGATGTTTATTATCACATATCCTAACCCATCTTAATTGTTTTAAATGTGATGAACTGTTGGAACGGTTTGCAGGGGACTTGTGTGTAGGGTAAACATCTTTTGTTTCAGACTGGCAATTTCTAGGAATGTGATTTCTGATTCACTTTGCTTTCAAAATTTGAAGAATAATCTCTAAATTTGTGTATCTTTTACAATGAAACATGAAGAG